TAAAAATATCAAAAATGGGCTAAAAGTGACAAATTTCCGAAATCTGGCCGAGGTTCGGCCTTCTGATGCTGAAACCGAGAGGAGGAAGGGTAGAAACCGAGAGGGGAGAAGAGAGAGGGTAGGAACCGAGAGGGGGGAGGAGAGAACAGAGGGGCGCGAAGAGACAGAGAGGAGAGAAGGCAGAGACCGAGAGGAGGGAAGAGACAGAGAGGCGGAGCAGAGACCGAGCGACCAGAAGAGACCGAGAGAGGCAGAGACCGAGAGAGGCAGAGACCGAGGCTCGGTCTCGCATGCCTCAGCCACCAGAGGCTCGGTTCTGGTCCTAAGAGGCCTCTCTCCCCGGTTTCGGTTCCTAAAGCCTATTTTTCTCGTTTTCGCCCCGTTTAAGCCGTTTTTGACCCGGTTAAGGGTCGGTATGACCCGAATGATTCCAAAAAGTTACGGGAACTTTTGGGAAAGATTTCACCTACTTGGAGAGATTTGGGAGATATTTGACATTCTTGGAGAGATTTCTCATACAAAGAGATATTTGAGAGAGATTTCACATACTTGGAGAGATTTGGGAGAGATTTGACATTCTTGGAGAGATTTCTCATACAAAGAGATATTTGAGAGAGATTTCACATACTTGGAGAGATTTGGGAGAGATTTGACATTCTTGGAGAGATTTCTCATACAAAGAGATATTTGAGAGAGATTTCACATACTTGGAGAGATTTGGGAGAGATTTGACATTCTTGGAGAGATTTCTCATACAAAGAGATATTTGAGAGAGATTTCAAGTGTGGCATTTGTGAGTGTTTGGCTCCACAATGCAAGTTTCTTGAGCCCCGATAAGTCATGATTAAGGATCCCACACACTCCCAATGAGTATGCAACATGGTTTTTATCAGTTTAGTTCATTGATTAGCACTAGGGCTTAGGAAATTTTAACACAAGACTTTTCTCAAGTGATGTTTTCCCATTAATATAGCAAGTTATACAGTATGAACATAACACAAACCCTAATGCACAAGGTTTAATCGAGCTGACCGGCTTGACTTGATGACTTGACTTGACTCAAGATTGACGATTGTCACACAAACCATAAATCCTTTGGGGCAATCCCTAGCGATATGCCCCTCCTTGCCACATTTTTAGCAAGCACACGATCAATAAGACCCCTCATGACCCTTACCGCACTTTCCGCAAGTGCGGCCCTTCTGACCTCCCGTCCTAGAATCGACGGACTTGGTCCGCTTGGCTGCCGGCTGAGGCTGAGCCGGGCGTCGATCCACCCGCTGAGACTCGGCCTCCTCCCTGGCCTGAGTCTCCAACTCGGTCTCCCTCTTCCGGGCATTTGCCTGGAGTTCAGTAAATGTCCGGTATGTCGAGTTCGATACGAACTCCCGAATGTCCCTCCTCAGAATACCCAAATATCAGCTCATCCGTGACTGCTCAGAAGACACTTGCTCAGGGCAGAACATCGCCCTCTCATGGAACTTCCGGGAGACCACAGCAACTGAATCATTACCCTGCTTGAGGGTCAAGAACTCCTAAAATCTCTGCAAGAGTGAAGTTCGCCTTCACGAACTTCCACCAATCCTTCGCCCCTAGGCAGAGCTGGTTCAAAGCGAACCGTACCCTCAGATGCTCCGGACATGAACACGTATAGAAGCATCCCTCAATGTCAGCAATCCATCTCATCGCAGCGATCGGATCTTGCGTCCCATCAAACTCGGGTGGCTTCGTGTTGCTGAACTCCCGGAATAGCAACGAGTCACCTCCCTGAGGTCTGGCAGCAGCCACAGTTGCCGTAGCTGCAGCAGTTGCGGCCTTAGTCACTGCGGTGTACCGCTCATCGAAAGTTTCCATCAGTGTGGTCTTGATAGACCCAAACATCTTCGGAATCTCGGCCCGGATTGCCGCAGCCACCTCATCGTGGATTATCTGACGAAGCTCCTCGTCACTCACACCGCTCGTCCCAAGTTTGTGGCGTGTCCCAACCATAATGCCTCTGAAATACAATATAAGAATGTCAGAGACTCAATCGAGCATACTCGCACTCGATAACGCAACCCTACTCGGCCTCCGATACCCAAAGGATTCTTACTTGGGTTGCCCACTGATCCGGTGTCTTCAGTAGTACGGGCCCTATACCACTGACTACACCACATCAGCATTCACCCCAAGTCCTCCTCCTTGGACCCCTGATCACGAGTACTCTATTCTTGCTATGCACTGGCTACCTACTCGCTCTCAAGGCATCTCCTAGCAGCAGGTTTCCCCTAGACTAAGGCATCACAAATCAGGCCACTCTAGTCCTAATATGAATACCTAGTCTACTCTAGCATGCATAACATATCTCATAACACATATTGTAAGCGTATTTTGGGGATTTTACCGTTCGGGCGTTGGCTGACCGTACACACTGCTTCTTCTTTGGTTATCACAAAATCTCTTATAAAATTTTATGCTTTTATTTATTGAAATTTTTTTCTCAAATCCTTGGTTTGAGTTCAGTTACGCCCGAAGGTGTACCCGAATCCCTCAAACCAAGGCTCTGATACCAACTTGTAACGACGTAAATTTTCAAAACAAATTTTTTATTTCTTAAACATGTTTTCTTCCAAATCAAATCATAAAAATCCAATATATCATATCGTCATACAAAACATATAAATCCCAAGATCATAAAATAAATCCTCCGCTAGTGTGTACAGATCACGTCAGCGCCTTCCCACGGTCCTCGCTAGTACCTGAAACACATAACACAACAACTGTAAGCATAAATGCTTAGTGACTTCCCCAAAATACTACTTACAGACACATACGCCCTTCCAGGCCCTGACCTTCCGATCCATGTGTCTCAGGGGACTTCCGTCCCAACCCGGTAAACCTTCCGGTCCTACCATCGTCGACCTTCCGGTCCTCATCACAATGCCTTCCGGCCCACATCAAGCATAGCATACATAGCACATACAAACCGTTAACTTAATCACATACAAATCATACTTCTGATTACATATCCGACCTTCTGATCACACATAAATACTCTTCCGAGTACAGTATAGTGAGAAGACTCACCTCAGATATCTCGGTAACTCATTGACTCTGTGGGAAATGCGATCTAGCATCCACCTAAACACATAAGGAAAATATTCCCATAAATATGACCGTACTCTAACCTTTCTTAAAATCCTCAGAAAGGTAAAAGACCATTTTACCCCTCTTTTGACTCACAGGCCTCACTGCTGTCCAAACCCTAAAAGTCAACCAAAGTCAACGGTCAACTTTGACCCGACTCGACGAGTGCACTTGGGCAACTCGGCGAGTCCACCTGTCTCCACTCAACTCCTTAGTCCAATTAACACGTCGAGTCCTTCCCTTTACTCGACGAGTCCCCAGGCATGAATCACGGGGCTACCTTGACTCAACTTGCCGAGTCCCAAGAACAACTCGGCGAGTACATGCCATGCACAGATTCTTTTGACCTCCTAAGGTCAGATATGTTCCTCCATTCCATAGATCTGACCTTCCCAATCAATATAATCACGTAAAGCTCAAAAATTGATGCTTATAAACATACATAATGGCATCAAATGGAGATTTAGTCCCATAAATGGCAACCTAGGTTCAATCACCCCTCAAGGACCCATAAAGCATACTAGATGGAAGTCTTTGAACCTCTTTGAGTCCAGATCCAAAGCATAGACTCGATAAGGGACCAATGGCTCCACATAAACATCCTCAAAAAGGGTTAGAAAACCCTAATCTCTAGGTTCAATACCAAAACTGAAGAAAAGTCGAATGAATACCTCAAGTTGGAATCTCTGGACTCTGAAACCACTTGAACCACACCTCCTTCAGCCTCCTCTTGCTCTTGATCACCTTCTTTTTGCCAAACCAAGGAAAGAAAGATCAATAAAGGCTTCTCCTTCCTTCTAAACGATATAGATTACTAAGGGAGCTCTCAAGGGACTGGTAGCCGCAATGGGAGGCTAAGAGTACCCTTAAATAGGCTCCAACCCCAGAGGATTTAGGGTTTCATTAAACATCGTGGACTCGCCGAGTCCAAAGTAAATCCGGATAATCAATCACAACCCTACTCGACGAGTCTACGCATCAACTCGCCGAGTTCCTTCTCATAATTCAAAAATATAAATATTAAATAATATACCTGGGATTCCGGATGTTTCAGGAATAGCTACAGAAAGAAAAAAAATGACATCTTAAATCTTCAAGAGATCAGCGATAGAAAGAAAAAAAATCACATCTAAAGTTTGAGAGGGAATAGCGATAGATTAAAAAAAAACAGATATATAGATTTGCAAGGGATTAGCGACGGAATGTTGTTATTAGGTTTTGTCGCCAATGTCCTAAATAACAGTATTAAGTGTCATTTTGCTATGGATATTCTGTCGCTAAAATCGTCGCAAGAGAAAACTAATCTGTCGCTAAATCCCTCGCTAAGTTATTAGCCACCCTCTAATTCGCAATGGAGCATGTTTGTGGTTGATCCGCCGCAAATGATATTTAGCGACGGATTTGCGACGGATTCGTCCGTCTCTAAAACTCATGTTTCTAGTAGCGGCAGTATTAGAGAGGGTGGAAGAGATAAATGATCAAATGGCACTTGTATTCGTAAATTGCTTGTAATTTTTATTATTAGATACGGCTATTGCGGAATTGAAAACTGTAATTTTATTAAAGTACAGGTATTTCTAATAAATGTATTTTATTTGGTGTTTTCCATCGGCTAATCTCTAGTAGTGACATATAGATGTTTACACTAGCGTTTTTAGTTTTATTCAATTGGTTGCCGTACTTGACCTCTACACTTTGATTCGGTAGGAAGTTTTTATCTTAATGATATGTGTTTTACCCTTTAAGCAGGCTGATTAGCATCTAGAACACATTGAACTAATCGACCTGTTACTATCATGTTGCTAGAGATCGTTTACAGGCATGAATCTAGAATGTATTTTAACTGGGACATTCATGCATTCAGGATCATAACGATGTTTCATTCTGAGCACTTTGATCGTGCTAAACTTGCAGATGACAATCCTTCTTCTGAAGATCTTCTTAACATTTGTTTCGAATTCACCTCACCACCTTGTCAAAATACATTAAATGCTACAGATTTCCAGTTGGAAGAAGATGAAAAGGACAACCCTTTTGCATCACTTGGAATTGTTAAAGACTTCTCAAGCAGATCAAGTAAAACGAATGGCGAAAAGATTCGTGTTCCCAGCTGTAATGGCGAAGAACCTGAGGCAAATGACCAAACATTGTCAACCCCTGCAAGAATTCGAATTGCTGGACAACAATTTATTGATTCGTATTCTTCAAAAGGTGATGAAATCTGCCAACTCAGCCATCCCTTTAAGGTTTCGTTTTCTGGGCTCTCTAATGATGAAACTAAAGACATCCAACTTCTGGTTACCCTTCTAGCTTCCGCTGAAAAAACGGGTCAAAAAAAGTTTAATCAAGCAAAAAAACTCATTCGGTTATGCAGCAATATGTCTTTCAATGAAGGAAACCCCGTCGAAAGATTGGTTTACTATTTTTCTGAAGCTATTCGAATGAAAATAAACAGCGAATTGGGAAGTGTCGCACGTAATGGACTTGAAAGTATGCAGTTTGATCTTCAAGAAGCCTTGATGAACGTGGACACATGCATCTTTGCATTTCACCAGAAAGTTCCTTTATCGCAAGTTTGCCAGTTCAGTTCGTTTCATACAATAATAGAAAACTTGACAAAAGCTACAAAAATTCACGTAATTGATCTCGAGATTAGAACAGGGATGCAGTATGTAGTTATGATGCAAGCGCTAGCAAGTCAAAGTGAATGTCATATCGATCATATCAAAATTACTGCAATCGGTACAAGATCGGAGTCAAAGATAAAAGATACCTGTACGTAAGCTCTAATCGCTGTGTTAACAAAATATTTCCGGTGTATATATATTTTGAAATCTTTGGCGCTTTTGTGCAGGTAAGAATCTTTCTGATTTTGCGAAGACGATGAACATCTTACTTAGTTTCAAGATAGTTATGGTAGCAGATATAATGGATTTTAATATCGATCTTCTTGAACTTGATGGAGACGAAAAGGTTGCCGTCTACGCGCCATTCATTTTATCAACCCTAATTGTGAAACCGAAAAGTCTCGAATATCTTATGCGGGAGATTCGGAAGATCAATCCTTGTGTAATGGTGATCACGGAAGTTGAAGCAAACCATACTTCACCAGCTTTCGTGGATCGTTTCATCGAAGCTCTTTTCTTCTATGGTGCACTTTTCGACAGTGTGTCAGATTGTTTGAGCAACGACGATCTGAACAGAAAGGCTATGGAGTCTGTATTCTATGGTCACTGTATACGAAATATTGTGGCAGCTGAAGGAGATGAGAGAACAATTCGACACATTGGCGTTGATGTTTGGAGGAAATTCTTTCAGCGATTTGGGATGTTGGAAATAGAATTGAGTGATGCGACACTGAATGAAGCCAAGTTGCTGATCGATAACTTCAAATGTGGGGATTCTTGTTCGCTTCTTGTTGATCGTGGATGTTTCCTTGTTGGATGGAAAGGTGTATCAATCTTCTCTGTTTCTGCTTGGAAGTTTATATGACAGATAGTTCAAACACAACCAACAAAAAATTTATTGTAGTTTCTTGTTGACGTTTAGTAACCTTAATGAAACATTATCGTATTTCTTGTAAACTGTGTTTCATATATTCTTGTTGACAAACGGTTTAATAAAGTTTATTATAATGATAACATCTGATCTGATATGTTTGTCCTTTTAAGCAGGCTAATTGGCATCTAATCGCCATTGAAGAAATCGATAACTGCAGAGAGCTACTATCCAGTTGTACATTTCAACTGTATTTTAATCGCAAGATTCGTGATTCTATTGCACTCAGGCTAGTGATGTTTTCTTCTAAGCAATTGGATGTCTGTAAACCTGAAGACGATGATCGTTCTTCCAAGCTTGAGGAACTCAGAAAAGATGAACAGGAACCATGTCTCAGTGGTGACTCGGAAGATATACAGAGTGTTTCTATCGATGTTGCCTCTCAATCTGATCAAACTATCGTAAAGGGGACACCTGTCCAATCGAACAACTGTGAGAAAGGTTCGCCCATTGTGTCTGTTGGGATTCTTAAAGATAGTGACCCCAAATACGATGAGGCGAAAGACCAAAAACTGTCGACCAATGCAAAAATTCGGCTAGCTGGACAGTGGTTTATCGATACTCATTCTTCAGAAAACGATAAAATCTCCGAAGCTAGCCAACCTTCATTCTCTGGGCTATCGGATGATGAAGCTAAAGACATCAAACTTCTACTTACTCTTCTTGATTCCGCTGAGAAAACAGGTCAACGACAGTTTGACCATGCAACCAAACTCATTGAATCATGCAATTACACTTCTTCAGCAGAAGGAAATGCCATCGAAAGATTAGTTTACTACTTTTCTGAAGCAATCCGTGAGAAAATAAACCGTGAAACTGGAACATCCGCTCACGATAGACTTGATAAGTTTCATATGTTCGATGTTCAAGAAGCGTTAATGAGCGTTGATGCAAGCATTACATCATTTCATCACAGGCATCCATTATCGCGTATTTGCCAAATTAGTGTGGTTGATACGATAATCGAAAACGTAAAAAAAGCAAGAAAAATCCATGTAATCGATCTCCAAATCAGGAATGGTATGAAATATATAGCTATGTTGCAAGCTCTTGCCACTCACTACAACAGGCATCTTGAACATGTCAAGATTACTGCTATCGGTACAATAGCCGAATCAAAGATAAAAGATACAGGTAACTCCTACATCATGTCTTACAAGTTACAACATAATGTTTTCCATTTCTCTAAAATTTAAACATGTTGTTTGGTTTGTACAGGAAGGCGTCTTGATGATTTTGCAAAGTCGATGAACATCCCATTTACATTCAAGATTGTTATGGTAGCTGACGTGTTAGATCTCAACATAGATCTTCTCGAACTCAATGATGATGAAGAGGTTGCAGTCTATGCGCCAGTTTTTTTATCAGGCCTAATCGTGAAACCGAACGATCTTGAATATCTAATGGGTGTGATACGAAAGATTAATCCTTGTATAACAGTGATTGCGGAAATTGAAGCAAACCATACTTCACCTGCCTTTGCTCATCGTTTCATTGAAGCCCTTTTCTTCTATGGTGCACTTTTTGACAGCATGTCTTATTGTTTGGCCAACGATGATCCAAGCAGAAGGGTGTCAGAGTCTGTATTTTTAGGTCAAACTATACGCAATATTGTGGCAGCTGATGGAGACGAGCGCACGATTCGACATATTAGTGTTGATGTTTGGAGGACGTATTTTGCACGATTTGGAATGGTGGAGATTGAACTGAGCACCGAGTCGTTATCTGAAGCGAAATTGTTGATTGACAGCCTTGACTGTGAGAGTTGTTGTTCAATTCGTGTTCATGGTAGGTGTTTGCTCATTGATTGGAAAGACATACCAATCTTTTCTGTTTCTGCTTGGAAGTTTGTATAACGTGATGTCTTGTTGAATAGATCAGCCCAAAAAAATAAATAACATATAATGGATGGTGAAATTTTTGTTTCAATAACAAACTTTTGGGTTAAGCCCATTTATGAGTCGAGGGGTATTTTGGGAAAAACATTTTTATTCTAAGTATTTGTTTCAGATTAGGGGGTATTTTGAAAAAAACCTTTTTATTCATGTATTTGTTTTAGATTAGGATGTTTTAGATTAGGGAGTTGTGTGCTGTATTAACAAGTATTACGTATTGGTTTAGGTTATTGCATTTATTAGTATAAATAAGGACATGTATTCGTTAGTTTAAATAGAGAACTAGGTGTGAGATCCATGTATTACATGGGTTTATTTAAAAAAAAATTAAATATGAAATTTTAACAATTTGAAAAGTTTGAATTTATAAGAAAAATAAGAAAAAATTTAAATTATTAAAAGTAATGAGGTTTTAATGTATTGAATACATTACATATATAAACTCTTTCTAATAAATCCCTTACATATATATTACCTTACATATTAAATGTGAAATTTTAATTTAATAAAATGAAAAATACAATAAAATGACAAGTGTAAAATAAAAAAAATTAAAATTCTAAAAAATGATATGTGTCCAAATTAATGAGAAGAGGACATGTGGCAAAAAAACTTTCATTTATTATAGTAGATTACAGCTATAAAATAAGGACATGTATTCGTTTAGGTTATTGCATTTATTAGTATAAACAAGGATATGTATTCGTTAGTTTAAATAGAGAATTACAGCTATAAAATCCTTTTGTTACAGTTTTTCATGTTCCTCCTTTGTTTGGTCTTGGGCATCAAGGTATTACCTGGTTTATACCAACACTTGGTATCAGAGCCTAAGGCTCGTGAAGACGTAGGACGGCCGGTTTGAGAGTCGATTTCAAGAAAATTGTAGCCTTTCGGGATAGACGCAGTAAGAACCGAGATCGGATTAAGGTGGTGTGGATTTTTTTGAGCACGAGTTGAAGCATCTCAACAGCAACACTGATTTCTCCTAATCGAGCTTGTTCTAAGGTAAAGAGAGACAAACCGGAGGCACAGAATAAACGGACGGGAAGACATCAAAACGGGTGGCTTTGATTCGGTTTGTTTTGCGGGTGAAGGAAGACGATAAAGATGGTCGTGACCTTGTCTTGTTGTTCTGTGGAAAAGTGCTCTCAGAACAAGGTTGATTAGGCCAGGGTTGTCAAAAAAGAGAATAAGACATTGATCGATCGAAATCAAAAAGCAGAAAAAATCAAGAGTTGTGTCTACATTAATCGTACAATAATGATTTACGAGGAAGAAAGTTTGACTTGTTCATGATAAGGGATACAGGTGTAGGCACGTGAAAAGCGGGCAGGAAGGATCCGTCAAAGCATGTGGCTTTCGATTCAGTTCTTTTGGCATGATTGAAAGAAAACGGTGAAGCATGTTCCTTTGTTTTCTTGGTCGGTGGATATGTCTTTTTGAGCAAAGGTGATCACAACAAACGAAGAGATTAGAGAAACAACATGGTGTGGACATTATCGCGGTGGAAGTTTAAATCGGATGGCTTTGGATCTGGCTAGGAAGAGGTCGTGAATCCGAGGAAAGTCTAGATGGTAATTAATGTATCCAACGGGATTCCATGTTACATGTTACATGTGTTGTGAACATTCAAAAGGGTATGGAGGACATTGGACATGACCGAGATGGAGGTCGTGTGTTCGGGAAAAGTCGGGATGGTTCGGGAATATGGTGATTCAACATTGTTTTGAACGAGAGATATGACTAATCTGATTAAGGGGGTGATCGTTAGGTTAATCGGATTTATGAGTGTAGGGGTATTTTGGGAAAAACCTTTTTATTCTAAGTATTTGATTTAGATTAGGAAGTTGTCTACTTGCTTAACAAGTATTATGTATTGGTTTAGGTTATTACTTTCATTAATATAAATAAGGACATGTATTCTTTCGTTTAGATAGAGAATTACGACAATAAAATCCTTTTGTCACAGTTTTTCCGGTTCCTCCTTTGTTTGGTCTTGAGCATCAAGGTATTACCAGTTTATTACCTTACACAAACAATGTTAAGCGATGATTTTCTAGTAAAAGCTTTGTAATAAAGAGCTCTTGTTTTAAGAACCGAAAGTAAACATGGTTATTACCACTCGGTCCTAACTTTTACATTATAAGATATTTACCTAGAAGCAACCAATGTTAAGGAAATATAATAAGTCAAGAAATACACATCTAGACATTCTTCTTATTGATTTGGAGACGTACCTGTAATAGTTCATTTTGATTGTAAAGATCCTTGGATTACCTTTAGATCATAAAATAACAAAATAAATGAAAATCAAAAATCGAAAAATATCAACATAAAATTACAACATAATAAGAATCTTTATCATTCCCACATGATCAAATTACCATAACTGACTCGCAACTTTAAATCACTGAAGAGAGCTCAAATGTTCATTTTTGAAGTAAATATCAAGTTTATGATCCCATATAACCATTGTATCTTTCAAGATTGTCTTAGCTTCTTCTTTACAAACATTTGAATCAATGTTGAAACCCTTCTCTTTAGCTTAATAACATGAAGGTGGTAACAGTGAGTAAGAGTGTGGAAAAAAGACGAAAAATCCCTTATGTGTCGTGCACATAAGGGAGGTTATCCGGAAGAATGAAAAGGTGTCAACAACGAGGGGCCAACCTTGCTAATTTAGTTTGGATTAGGGACGGTTCTTGTAATGTTTGATATAGTTAAGAAAACAATGTAATTATACAGAAAAGTTAGGGACCAAACATGTAGTTTTATCTAAAAATATTAATTAACCTGCACGTTTAACTTGAAAGTTGAAATGTAATAACCTTCAAATTGGCCGAGGGTGTCGATGATCACCTAATTACACGTGCATTACTTGATGACTCATTCCCTCCTCTTTAAAAGAAATGTACCACCAGAGACCCTAAAATTAGCTCCTTTCACACTCTCTAGCTCAAAAGGACGTTAGGGTTTACTCTTAGTGAAGGTGAGCCGCAAATGAGGCTATAAGTTCCCTTATATAGGCCCCAACCCCCGGGAAATTACTTTATGACTCGGCGCTACTCAGCGAGTCGGACTCACGACTCTTCAAGTCACTCTATAAGTCTCAAGGTTAAAGACACATTAATGTATCCGAAAGTCCGGATGTTACAATTCTCCCCCACTTGAATTAGATTTCGCTCTCGAAATCGTTTCTCAACGTCACATAGATCGATCACAACAACCCGAAAAGTACCACCGAAGGGGTCTCATACCACACAACTAACTTCCTCCAGAGACACCTGAAACCAAATAGGAACTCCCAAACCCGGAAGAGGACATACTCTTCTGCCGCTACAATACCCCTTCTGACTCACCAAAATCTAAAAACTATAGTGGCCTGTCTCACTGCTAGGCCACCTTCTCAAGCTATCACCATGTTAATCGCTCCTCGAGTAACGAACCCTGAAAACTCATTGCCCATTTGATTCTCTCGTATCGACTAATATAGACCAGTCAAAGCCCAAAAATTTGCTACCGATCTCTCACACCAAACATACTAAGCGCTCCATATCATACTCCAAGGAGCGAAAGGGCCACATTACACCCAAGAACCATCCACTGTACTGCACTCAAAATCCCATCTGAAAAAAGAATTCTCAACACCCTGCCCTCAAACACAAGAAAATGATCATGCTTGCTCAGAAGCATCCTCTGACATCTAACAATCATAAGCCTCAGCTCCCTCTCAGATATCCCTTTCAACACTGAGAACCAGATCAACTCTCGACCCCACAATTGAACCTCCAAAGGTTACTCATTGCATGCCCCAAAACGTCTCACTGACTTCCTTCTCACAACAACTATCTCGGCCCGTAGTGACATACAAGTTATGAAGTCCGCTTTACTCCAAGAGGATACAACAATCCCAACTGAAATCGCCTCACCCTCGACCTCCGTCATCTACTACTCTTTAGTTCCATGCGTCTCATGGTCCTCTTCATACAAACGAACCGACCCACTCAAGTCTAAGACATCAAATAACACACGATACTCCTCAAAATGAAACCCGTCTCTGAATTTGGAATCTCATTCGCCTACTCAAATCACCACCGAAGCTAAACTCAAACTAGAGAGTCTGGTTTAACACAGAATTGGAACCACTCATCCCAATGAAGCACTCAACTCATGAACCATGGCCCACAACCTACGCGTACCTCACTTATCCAATTCCTTTTATTGCGATAACCACAACTCAACTCAGAATATAACGATCGCTGACAATTATGGAGACCCCAGTCTCGCCCCTGATCTGACCACCCAGTTCCCGAAACTCAAAGAATAAGGCTACCCAAGCCTAAAAACTCTTATGTGTTATGCTCTGTCTAGCGAATAATATGGCTCCTCGCAGTATCATAACATTCCCTCTCACTAACCCGCCATGGGCTCACTCCATGGTTTCCCGCGATAATCTAAAGCGATTACTCCACTTGAATCCACTTACCCTCTTATCACCCCATAGTCTCCTCATTGGGTCACCACCCCCACTGAGTTCATTATCGAATACTTCACAGCTCAACATAGATAGGTACACGCACCCACCCAGGTTAAGCATCACCACTCCTGATGACATCCATCGTGGCCAACACTTTTCTTATTGCACTTTACACTCTTGAATACTTCCGCTTGATAATAGTTAGTTGAATGGCTCCCACTGGAACCATTGTCACTTGATACTACACTTGCCATCTCATGACTCAAGTCTTAAAATAATCTGAAATTTTTCGGCCTCATACTCAAATGCCTCGATACGTCATCACAGAACTTCACGAAGCATTTCCCCAACCACTGATCCACCACCCGTGGCATCATACTCGGATACCGCAATGTATCCTCCCTGAATCTCACAATATCTCGACTCTACCACCAATCTTTCTCTCGCACAACTCTCAACTTTGAAATACTCCAACCTTCAACTT